GCCGGGGCTCCTTCGGGCGACATAAGATATTTAGCCACCCTCTCTGCCGCCTGTAATTCACCATATACGTGGATATGTCGAGGGTGAGGGAGAGGGAGAGGGAGAGGGAGAGGGAGAGGAGCTGAGGATGAAGCAGGTGACGCTGAAGCCCTCCATCTGCCTCTCAACCGACTCCTCGTTCCTCAAGAGTATGGAGGCAACGGAGCAGCTGGTACTGGAGGCGCAGATGAAGGGGGGAGAGAGCAAGCGGGCAGGGCAAGTGGTAGAGGAGCAGGTGGTCGAGGCTCTCTGCGTGGGCGTGAAAGGAAAGGAGCTTCACTTCGAGCTGCCCGGCAGCCTGGTCGGCGTCTGCCCTCCTCACCTGCATGGACGCGCCAAGGTGAAGAAGGCAAGAGGCGGGAAAGAAAGACGGAGAGGATAGGATGAAGGTGTTGCAAGGAAAGTGAAGGGCATGACAATTTCGGAGGAGTAGGAGGGAAGGGAGAGGAGAGCGAGCGAGCGTTGATGTTTCCATAGGTCACCACTGGCAAGCGCTATAAGGTCTGCGTGCTGCTGATCGATAAGTTGCGGGAGCGAGTCTATGTGGGGATGGAGGACGAGCTTGTGGCTTCGCTGCAGGCCAGCAAGAAGGGGAAGGGGAAGGAAAAGGAGCAGGAACTCATGCCTGCTGACTCCGTGCGGGGGATCGTGCAGCTTGTGGGGGAGGAGCGAGTAGTGCTGTCTCTTCCTCAGAGCCGCAAACTTGCGGTCGCGTCGATCGAAGACTTCAACGTCCGCGGAGAGCGCGCGCGCAAGCAGTGAGCTCAAGATCTTGTTCTCTTCCTCCTCGCCCTCTTGTGCCTCCTTCCTCCTTCCTCCTCTTTCACTTTTCCATCCGCTGCTCTCCTTGTCTTCTTCTCTTTTACTGCGTCCAACAGGTTCGTCCCCGGGCAGAGCATGGATGTGCTCGTGCTGGAAGCGACAGGCGCTCCCGTCCTGGTCATGAGGGCTGACAGTGGGAGCGGAAAGACCCAGAGAAGAGAAGGGCAGAAGGTGGGCGAGCAGAGGGAAGAGAAGAGATGAGAAAGAGAGGAGGAGGAGGAGGGAGAGGAGAGCATTGAACGAGGATGCAGGTGGATGACGAGGAGCTGATGAGGAATGGAGAGAACTGCAAAGGAGCGCGGCTGACCAGCATGGAGGAGGCTGAGCGCGGCAAGTTGGTGAAGGGGATCGTACACAGTGTGAAGGCGACGCACGCGAACGTGCGACTAGGAGGAGGATTGAGAGGCGTGATCGACCTGCTCGACGCGATGGACCCCGAGGAGATGAGAGAGGGGAAGGAGAACCGGTTGAGCATGCTCCAGCAAGGGCAGGCCATCGACGCTCGGGTCCTCGGCGTCTTCTCCCCTGCTCGTGCTGGCCGAGACACCAGGTACTCGCTCGCTCTCTCGCCGCCCTTGTGACTTCTCTCTCTCTCTTTCCTCAGACTCGTCGCTCTCTCCATCCGACCTTCAGAGCTCGCGCAGCCGGAGGAGACGCCGCTGACGAAGCGTCCGAGCCTGGATGAGTTGAAGGAAGGGGAGGAGGTGGAGGGAATGGTGGAGAAGGTGGAGGGCGACTGCCTGTGGGTGCACCTGGGAAGTTCGCTGAAGGGACGCGTGGAGCAGCTAGATGCCTCGCGTGAGCTGACAGTGCTGGAGAACCTGAAGAAGAACTTTAAGGTGAGGAGGAGAGGAAGAGAGGGAGAGGAAGAGAGGGAGAGGAAGAGAGGGAGAGGAAGAGAGGGAGAGGAAGAGGGCGATGGAAAGGAAGCAGGTGCAGGGTAGGGAGGAAGACGAGGAAAGGAAGGTCGGGAACGAGAGGTAACGTGGAGCGAACGCAGGTGGGGCAAGGAGTGAGAGCGTCAGTGATCGCCGTTGACGTTGGCAAGAGCCGAGTGGACCTGAGGCTGCTGGAGGAGGGAGAGAAGGGGAAGGAGAAGGGAAGCGGGAGGAAGAGAAAGAAGGGAGAGGAGGCGATCCAGGTGGGGGAGGTGGTGCCTGCTAAGATCGTGAAAGCTCGTCCTGGCTTCGGCTTCGTCCTCAAGCTCGGCCTCCACAGTTTCGGTCGCGTTCACATCTGCGACATCGCAGACGCGGCTGTCGATGCTCCTCTCTCGCTCTTCAAGGTCGGCCAGCTCGTCCGTTGCTGCGTGCTGGAGGCTGAAGAGGACGGGTTTGCGCTCTCACTGCGGCCCTCGAGGGTATCGGGGAAGAGACGAGGAGAGGAGGAGGAGGCGGTGCGGGAGCATGGAGCCTTCCCTGAGGTCTCGTCGGTCAAGGAGCTCGCGGTGGGGCAGCTGCTGTCAGGCTACGTCAAGAGTGCAAGCTCAGCTGGAGTCTTCGTGCAGCTGGGGAGGCAGGTGACGGCGAGGGTGAAGATCTCGGAGCTGTCGGACGGGTACGTGAAGGACGTCAAGGCAAACTTTCCTCCTGGTCGCCGCGTGTCCGGGCGAGTCATAAGCGTGGAGGTGAAGAAGGAGCAGGTGGATCTCTCGCTCAAGCGCAGCGTCGTGCTGGGGAAGAGGCGGGTGGGATGGTCGGACCTGCAGGTGGGGCAGGTGGTGGCGGGGGCGGTGAAGAGCGTGCAGTCGTTCGGAGTGTTTGTGAGGATCCGGGGGAGCGAGCTGGACGGGCTGTGCCACATCTCCGAGGTCGGGGAAGAGTTTGTGCGGGACCTGAGCAAGCAGTTCAAGCAGGGAGACAAGGTGAAGGCAAAGATCCTCCGCATGGACCCTCAGCGAAAGACCATCTCACTTGGCATGAAACCCGAGTACCTGCAAGACGCGCCAGACGACAGCGAATCTTCTGAAGACGACGAGGCAGATCAAGTGATGGCCAAGGAAGAGGCCGAGGCAGAGGAGGAGGAGGAGGAGGAGGAGGAGGAGGAGGAGGCGGCGGCGGCAAGACATGACTCTGAGGTTTGTCAAGTGAAGAATTTTCATGTTGACTAACGCTCGTATGCAGACCGCAGACATGGACGATAGTGAAGAAGAAGCAGATAATGACGATGATGAAAAAGAGGAGGAGGAGGAGGAGCAAGAAAACGACGAGGAAGACGAAGAGGACGAGGAGGAGGAGGAGGAGGAGGAGTCCGGCGAGGGACGAGCTGCTTTCTTATGGGATGACTTTGACGGCATGAAAGGAGAGAAAGAGGAGGAGAGTCAGACGGATGGGAGCGACGAGGAGGAGGTCATGGATGAAGACGACGGAAAGAGCAAATCGCGAGAGAAGAGGAGAAAGAAGAAGGAGAAGGAGCAGAAGGAGCAGGAGCTGCGCGAGAAGGAGGAGGCGCTTCTAGATCCAGAGAAGGTGCCGGAGACGGCAGAGGAGTTTGAGAGGATGGTGCTGTCGTCGCCCTCCAGCAGCTACGTCTGGATCAAGTACATGGCCTTCTTCCTCGAGATGACCGAGATCGACAAAGCCAGAGAGATCGCAGATAGAGCCCTCAAGACCATCAGCTTCAGGGAGGAGCAGGTGACCTCCTCCTCTTCCTCTTCCTCTTCCTCTTCCTCTTCCTCTTCCTCTTCCTCGTCCTCGTCCTCGTCCTCGTCCTCGTCCTCGTCCTCGTCCTCGTCCTCGTCCTCGTCCTCGTCCTCGTCCTCGTCCTCGTCCTCTTCCTCGTCCTCTTCCTCGTCCTCGTCCTCGTCCTCGTCCTCGTCCTCGTCCTCGTCCTCTTCCTCGTCCTCTTCCTCATCTTCTTACAGGAGAAGTTCAACGTGTGGGTCGCCAGACTCAACTTGGAGAATCTTTACGGCACAAGAGAGTCGCTGATGTCTGTCTTCGAGCAGGTCTTGCTCCTGCTCCTGCTCCTGCTCCTGCTCCCTTCTCCTTCCTACTCTCTCCCTCAAGCTCGGTCTTGTTTGCCTTGTCGTTCGTTTCCTTGTCTTCTCTCACTCTTTCTCGCCGTCTGATGTGCCACGTCAGGCATGCAAGCTGAACGACAGCAAGAAGATGCACATGCAGCTGTTGGGAATTTTCGAGCGAGGAGGAGATGCGCAGGTTGTGAGGGGAGGCGAAGAGCGAGGGAGATGAGGAAAAGAGAAGAGATGAGGGGAGAGGAGGAGCAGATATGTTGGTGTTGAAGAAGGAAACTGAGCAGGAAGCAGGTGACGGAGCAATTCTTCAAGACGCTGACAAGGAAATTCCGCAAGAGCTGTAAAGTTTGGCTTCGATATTGCACGTTCAAGCTGCGAGGGGCTCACCCTGAAGCCGCGGGAAGGATGCTCGAGCGAGCGCTGGAGGCGATTCCGAAGCGAAAGCACGTGAAGCTGATCCACAAGGTAGAGAGGGGAGAGGAGGGTTGGAGACAGAGATGACGGTCGTGAGGGGCAGCAGCAGAGGGTCGGGGAACGGGCGGGGGAGAGGATGGGAGGGAAGAGACAGGAGGAGGAAGTGATGTATGCGCAGTTTGCGACCATGGAGTACAAGCTCGGGTCAGCAGAGCGAGGGCGGACGCTGATGGAGGGAGTGGTAGTGTCGAGCCCCAAGAGAATCGACTTGTGGTCAGTGTTTGTTGACCTGGAGCTCAAGAGCGGGCACGTGGAGGCAGCTCGACAGCTGCTGGAGCGAGCGATCACGTTGAAGCTCAAGGGAAGGCAGGCGAAGTTTCTGTTCAAGAAGATGCTCGAGCTTGAGAAGACTCACGGAGACGCTGAGAGGGTGGCGGAGGTGAAGAGAAAAGCGAGGGAGTGGGTGGAGTCTAACGCCGAGTGAATCCCCTTATCCTTACAAGATCCCTCCATCCTCAGTCCCCTAGAAGTCCACGAAGGCCTCATGTTGTCGGGGCCTTCGTCGCCTCCCTGGCTTGTGCGGGGGGTCGACCTGGCGCTTCAGCAGCTCCACCCAATCGACTTGTGCGAGCCAAGCGCAGCTCCACTTCCTCCCCACCGCCGCCGCCTTGGACTCCCCAGCCTGCACCTCCACCACACCTCCTCCAAACCGTCTCGTACTGTCTGCCTGTAGCAGGCGAGCAAGGAGCTCACGGGCAGAGGAGGAGACCTCGTGCGGGTACTCGATGCTCTCTGTCAGCAGCCGCTTGTAAGCCGAGTTGGAGTTCTTGTCGTAGAAGGGAGGAGCCCCGACCTGCGTGCGCGTCACTGGCAGCAATGAGAGGCAGTGCAAACTCGCCAGCATCTCGAAGATGAGGATGCCGAGAGACCACCAGTCCGCCTCCTGCCCGTGCCCGACACCCAGGATGATCTCCGGGGCCATGTAGAAGGGAGAGCCGACGAGAGAGAAGGAGCGGTCTTGCAGCGAGGTCGCTTGCTTGCTGTGCCCGAAGTCTGTCAGCTTGACGTGCCCCAGCTCGTCGAGCAGCACGTTCTCTGGCTTGAGGTCGCGGAACAGGATGCGCATCTCGTGCAGGTACTCGATGGCCAGGATCACCTCAGCGGCGTAGAAGGCAGCCCAGGGCTCAGGGAGGCGCTGCTTGGATGCGAGGAGCGACAGCAGGTCTCCTCCTCTCACGTAGTCCATCACCAGGATGAAGCGATCAATGGTTCTGAACGCAAAGTGGAGCTTCACAATGAAAGGATGATCCACAACTTGCAGCGCTCGCCGCTCTGCCTGCAAGCTCTCTACAGTCCAGTGAGCTTGTAGGGCAGCGTCCACGTCGATGATGCCTTGGAGGTGCTTTCTCCTCTGCAGCTCCTTCTCGAAGTCATCCTTCTCCTTCTGGTTCACTATGCTCTCCTTGGACACCACCTTCATCGCGTACACTTCCCCGCTGTCCACCTTCCGCACCCGAAAAACTTCTCCGTATGCTCCCTTACCGATGGAGTTGAGGATAGAGAAGTCGCGGAAAGAGACCGTGTCGTCTTGCAACCCCAGCACGAGCTTCACCCCTGCCATCCACTCGCGTCGCGCCTCCTCGTCGGGACATGACAGCACCAGCGGGTCTCTGTCAGGATGGAAGATACCGAAGCAGAAGCCTTTCTTTGCGCTGTCGCCCATCATGGCAAGCGAGCAATCCTGTAAGTCTACTGTCCTCTTGGGCCACGCCTTGTCTAGGAATCGACGTTCGTCTTCCCAGTACCCCAGGAAGCCGTCAGAGAGCGCGTAGAAGGCTCTCTTCCACTTGCTCGTCAACGCTCGCTTTCTCTTCGTCTCCAAGTACCCCGACATCAAGTACGCTGACTTCTCTCCGCCAGAGCTCGCCTGCACCGTGGTCACGCCTGCCATTGGCGCTATTGTTGACTTCCTCAACTCCTTTGGCGTCCTGACCATCTCAAGTGACCTCGCTCGCTCCGCCTGTTGCCTTGCAGCCGCATCTGATCCTCCGACCTCCTTCTCTGCTGTAGAACGCCCACCCCATCCCCACCACCAGCCTTTCCCCCTCGACGAGGAAGCCATCACCACCAAGACAACTGAGGAGGATGCCGAGGGAGAGCACGTGGGGGGACAAGAGATTTTAGTGCAGATGAGAGAGTAGAGGACAAGAGAGGAGGAGTGAGATCAGAGTAGTGAAGGGGAGGGGGGGGAGGGGAGGGGAGGGGAGGGGAGGAGGGGAGGGAGGGAGGGAGGGGGAGGAGAGAGAGTGGGGGAATATGGTCATTGGTAGGGTTCAGAAACAGTTCAGAAAGGGGTCGGAGGCATGAGGGCGATGATGTGCATGAGGGTGATGATGGGTACGAGGGTGATGAATGAAAGGTATGAGCGGAGATGAGGCTAAACTTCTAGACACCCAAAATAGAACGAGGCGATATGTCGAGCCTGACTAACGCGGGATCGATGCAGGGCGACTATGAGCCAGCGGTAAGAGAATGCGTGCGATGATGGGGATGATGATGATGATGATGATGATGATGATGATGACCATGAAGGAGATAGAGATAGCAATGTCGATGGCAACGATGATGTTCATGGTTGCTGATGATGATGATGTTGATTGGGAAAATGTATGCCGATGCAGATGATAATGATGGAGTCTTTGGATATGGAGATGGAGATGAACATAGAGACAGATATGATGGTGTTGATGACCGAATGTGTGAAGTAGCATGATTGTAAAGCACCTGCCATTTGTCTATCTGCGATCTAGCAGAGGGAGTATTTCTTTGACTAGAATTGCAGACAAAGCACTTCCTTCTTATCGGGTTTCTCGGCATGTTTGTCGGAGCGATTGTGTTCTACTATCTCTCCATGAACAAGAAGGAGAAGAAGCTACATGAAACTCTCATGTTTCTCGTTGCTGTGACTTCTGCCGCTGCCTACTACCTCATGTGGAGCGGGTGAGACATTTCAACGTTTGTGGATCATGCGTAACGATGAATCTCGGTAGCTTCGGAGTCGTGAAGAAGACAGACTCAGCAGGCAAGGAACGCCTCGTCTTTTTCGCACACTTCATCGAGCGTCTTCTCACTACTCCGGTAATTTGCTTGTTAACTTGTTTGTCTTGCCGATTCGCTGATCTACCGGCAGCTCCTCTTGTACTCCATCTGCGACCTGACCAACGCGGCCAAGGGAGAGACTGTGATGATCCTCGGCCTTGACATGCTCATGGTGGCCTCTTCTACCATCGGAGCGACTCAGCTTCGCCCCTGGAAGTGGTTCTGGTGACCTGCCTGACCTGAGCTTATCCGGCTCTTGACGAAGCCTCGTAGGTGGACTGTCGGGATTGCCTTCTTCGTCTTGTTGGCGCTTCAGGTGTGGTCGTTGTATAGCAAAGCAAAGGAGTCTGGCAACTCCTACGCAGCGGGACTTCAGGTACCTCGTGTTGCTCGTGTACCTTGCTGATCCGCTCCAGGTGTTGGTCATGATCCTCCTCGTCTCTTTCATCGTCTACCCCACCGTCTGGGTGTTGGGAGAGGAAGGGCTCCAGGCTATTTCCATCAACATGGAGGTGACGCAACTCAGACAGTTTTTAGGGTTGTTCACTTGCTTGCAGTCTGGCTTGTACGTTCTTGTCGACCTCGTCTCCAAGATTGTCTTTGGTCTTTACTTGTTGTTTGCTGTGCTTGGCAGCGAGGAGCAGGACTCAGAGGGTACTTGTTCTTTTCATTATTCCATCGTCTCAAAGTTGACGTGTGACGAGCAGGAGCCGAGAAGACTTCCCTAGTCTAGGTTGCAACTGCAAGTGCCGGAAACTTTGTTTTTCTTTATGCAATGAATGTGTGAAAGTATTGGAAATCCTCTCACTTACTCTACATGCGAGTACATGATCTGAGGAATCACGTCTGACCAAAAGGGGATCACCTTGTCGTACATGATCTCGTTGATCAGTGCCGACGAGCTCTGAGTTCCCAACTTGCGATGCTCATGATGTTCCTCTTTCACCACGGCTCCGTTCCGCTTCTTCTCTGCTACTTCCTTCACATCTCCACCAACTGCTGAACGCGTCTTCGTTGCTTTGTCTCTAGCATAACTTGTCTCGCAGTGTGGAGCGCACGCGTCCATGCGGCTGTTCCCGAGGGAGGAAGAAGCGATCAGGATCTGCGTCATCTTTGTCAGTCTCGTGCGGATCTGACGTCAAGGTACCATGACGGGCGTTGCCAGGGCAGCTGCTCTGAGCACGAGGGGCTGCGGGAGACGAGGCGTCAGACGCACAGGTAGCAGCAGCAGCAGCATCTCACTCGAACATCATCTGAGGCGAGCTTGTGCCACCATCTGAGCCAGCGATTGCTAGACCGATTGCTCCCATGGGCGGGTGCGGGCGAAGTCTCCACGAAGTAGCGAGCCTCTTGCTCCTCCTTGCCCTGCTGCCTTGCCGGGTCTGTCCCTTCACCTTCATCGCCTCCCTCAGCACGACCTGAGCTGTCGGCTGATTTCTCGTCCGACCTCGCGTCATCTTCGAGTCCTTCACTCTCGTCTGCAGTGCTGGTAGCCCGGCCCCCTGCCTCCTCTTGCTTCTCCTTCTCGTCTACACAGTCTGCATTGCTCGTCGTCGCTGCCCTCGTATGCTCGTCATGCTTGCTCGATTCTTCTCGAGTGTCGGCGCCGGATGATTCATCTCGCTGCTTTCTGCCACCGAACAGCCTCAGACCTGGCATCGTCCATGCTCTCGACTGTCGCTCGTGAAGCTTTCTGTGATCGTCGGAGGCGCAACGTAGGCTTGAAACAATGCAACCTCCTTGTTGCGCTGCACTCTTGTCCGCCTGTAGGTTCTGGGCTGTATGCTCGGCCGCCTGTAGGTTCTGGGCCGTATGCTCGGCCGCCTGTAGGTTCTGGGCCGTATGCTCGGCCGCCTGTAGGTTCTGGGCTGTATGCTCGGCCGCCTGTAGGTTCTGGGCTGTATGCTCGGCCGCCTGTAGGTTCTGGGCTGTATGCTCGGCCGCCTGTAGGTTCTGGGCTGTATGCTCGGCCGCCTGTAGGTTCTGGGCTGTATGCTCGGCCGCCTGTAGGTTCTGGGCTGTATGCTCGGCCGCCTGTAGGTTCTGGGCCGTATGCTCGGCCGCCTGTAGGTTCTGGGCTGTATGCTCGGCCGCCTGTAGGTTCTGGGCTGTATGCTCGGCTGCCTGTAGGTTCTGGGCTGTATGCTCGGCCGCCTGTAGGTTCTGGGCCGTATGCTCGGCCGCCTGTAGGTTCTGGGCTGTATGCTCGGCCGCCTGTAGGTTCTGGGCTGTATGCTCGGCCGCCTGTAGGTTCTGGGCCGTATGCTCGGCCGCCTGTAGGTTCTGGGCTGTATGCTCGGCCGCCTGTAGGTTCTGGGCTGTATGCTCGGCCGCCTGTAGGTTCTGGGCTGTATGCTCGGCTGCCTGTAGGTTCTGGGCTGTATGCTCGGCCGCCTGTAGGTTCTGGGCTGTATGCTCGGCCGCCTGTAGGTTCTGGGCCGTATGCTCAGCCGCCTTCAGGTTCTGGGCTTTTTTCGTGTCTGACTCCACGTCTCCCCCGGCCTTTCCAGTGTATGCAGAATCTTCGCCTTTCACCTTCATCCTCTCCTTCCTCTCTTCCTGGAGCTGGACTGCGGCTGCAGGCAGTCCTTCACTCTCGTCTGCAGTGCTGGTAGCCCGGCCCCCTGCCTCCTCTTGCTTCTCCTTCTCGTCTACACAGTCTGCATTGCTCGTCGTCGCTGCCCTCGTATGCTCGTCATGCTTGCTCGATTCTTCTCGAGTGTCGGCGCCGGATGATTCATCTCGCTGCTTTCTGCCACCGAACAGCCTCAGACCTGGCATCGTCCATGCTCTCGACTGTCGCTCGTGAAGCTTTCTGTGATCGTCGGAGGCGCAGGTTGAAGTTCCGCCAGAAGCTTGAAAGATGTTGTTGTCGTTTCGGCCTTGAGCTGTAGCATCGAGATGAAAATCAGTCTTGGAGAGCGGGTCTGAAAATGCAGACAGGTGAATGCAGGCAGACGTGGGATGCTAGACCCTACCTTGACAACAGTCAAGCGCATGTTTCGGGTCTCGTTGGTCGTTCATGGCGTTGTTGGCTACATGAATTACGTTGTTGCCTGCGAAGGCCACAGTGACAAACGAGTATGATGACATACTGATGATATGACATCATGCCACACATAATATGAAACGACAAGATGGTTCAAAGACATCGTCTCTCACCTGTGGTCCCAACACCATCATCAACTCTGGAGTAGAGATCCGACAACCTCCAAGTTCCGTCCACAATGAACTTGAGCTCATGGTCACCTTCAGGCAGATCTAGAGTCGTCTCCCACATGTCCTCAGATGTCTTCTGCATTTCATGCACTTCCAACCATTCTGACCAGGACCCCACCACGCCCACGAATCGGAAATCGTTGTTGCTGTTGTCAAAGTGTATCTTGGTTGGAACAAGGATCTGCTGGGCAAGTCCTTCATGCAGCACTTTCAGTCTGTCTGCTCCGATCTTGATTTCTCGGTCGGACAGGTGTCTCTTGTCACCCGTGTCGGCCAACTCGTAAAGCCTCTTCCTACAAGCGCAAGGTCATGGCGCTCAAGGAAGCCAAACATTCTCAGGGTTGTGGGGATGCGAAGTTATAGGGACGAAGACACTTACGTTGGAGCAAGATGAGAATCCAGAAAGCCCTGCATCGCTGAAGCATCGATCTTACCATAACCTACAAGATCTGTCTCGCATTCCGTGAATCCCGTTGCATGCCCTTCAACGATCTTGACGAGCAGAAGCATCTTCAACAAGCAGACAAATGTCGCACTTCGATCTCGACTGAGAGCCATGGCCTCCTTCTAACCACCTGCCTGCCTCCCTGCTTGCCTGCTTGTCTGCCTCCCTGCTTGTCTGTCTCCCTGCCTCCCTGTTTGCCCTCACTACCACTGATGTTACAGCTTCCTCTCAACGAGTCTCCCAATTGGACCTCGTAGGGTGGGGTAGTCTGAGCGAAGTACCGGTTATTTTACCTTTTCTCAAACGGGTACCAAGTAAATTGGGTGGGTCTGGTTTGGGGCACATTACTGTCGGAGCGACTACAGACTACCTAATTAAACCCTGCTCTGCTCTGCTGTGCTCTGCTGTGCTCTGCTGTGCTCAAACAGCAGTGCTCTGCTGTACTGTGCTCAAACAGCAGTGCTCTGCTCTGCTCTGCTCTGCTCTGCTGTGCTCAAACAGCAGCGCTCTGCTCTGCTCTGCTGTGCTGTGCTCTGCTGTGCTCTGCTCCATCTCATGACACCTCCCTGGTCTTGTCTTGTTTTCTCTTCACCTCCATTACGACTGGAAACATTTCAGGGAATATTGCTTTCACACTCGTTTTTCAAAACAATAAGTTAAATTCAAAGCCATCAGATGATCATTGTCCAATGATTTGTTTATATGTTTTGAGTGCATTGCAACACCAGAAAATGCTGTTACATGGCCTTCTCAGAGAATTGAGTGTGGCAGCTGCAGTTGTCTTCATCATGACTGATAGTGTCCAAGGTTTGACGCCTGCTAGCCACAGTCGCTTAGAAGTTGCCATTCTTCTGCAAGACAATCGGCACGACGAGAGTGTCGATGCTCTCAAGTGCTTGAGAGATGTGAGTCAGATACGTCTTGGCGGTCTTCACGTTGCGCTCGACACCCTTGGCACTCTGCAGGTTGTCCTGTCCAAGTTCACAGTCAAGAGCGAACACCGCACGAAGATGATTGTACCTGAAGGTTCTTAGCAACAGACTTCATATCATTGTCCACACCCTGAGAAATCATTCTTCAAAACGCCAATCAACTTGCAACTTCACCACCTTGAATAGAGAACCAAAATGCTTTTCAACTTCTTTGTTATATCTTTCCCAGGCCTGACTGGCCTGTCGTACGCGTCATTGAAATTAAAAAGTCACCGACCACACACATTTCGTTGCCGACTGGACAGCACAACACGCTGCAGTTGCTGTGCCGACTTGTCTGTTGCTGTTGCATCGGACGCCTCTATCTTAGCTGCAACCTTCGAACGCAAACTCAAAGGACGACTCGATTCCTGTGCGCGTTGAAACCTCTTTCTCTGCCTGCTCCTGCTGCGGTGGTTTACTCTTCACTTCGATTTCTACAGCCTGATGCATGCATGAGATTTTCTGCCGTCGATCAAAGGGTTGGTATCAGCACCTCAGGCTCGGGTCCCGATTCGTTTCCTTGTGTGGGAACGTTTTCGTCTTGCTTCTATCACTCGTATCATAGCAAATTTTGAACAAGACAAGAACCTCTTGCTCATCTGTGTTCGACGAGGAATTTTCTTTCGGCACGATCTCATCTGTTTGGAGATTCTTTTGTCAGAAGGTTTGACAGTGCCACTTGGGTGGGGGTTGGCCAAACATTTTTCGTTCCCTCCCCCCATGAGAAGTTACATTCACATCACCTTTTGTGACACCCTCCTGTCCATCTCCAAGATCAGCCAGTCTCTTTCCTCCCTTCTTTGGCTGTTCACAGAACAACTATTCAGAGCAGCTCAAAAACAATGCAGGGGTCCGGCGCTCCTCGCCACCTCGCCACTCTCACGGAGGTCCACGTCCTGCAGTCCCACAAGGACAAGGCATACCTATGCACGTGATAGAGTATGCAATCTCCTACTAGCTCCTATTGCTAGTCTTGATCCACTAGCTCTTCTTCTACTCTCTTCCTTTCCTCTTCTCCTCCTCCTCGCGAAGCTCTGTCATACCATGCTGATGTCGACAAAAACAGAATCTTCTTACCCCACCCTATAAATTACCACTAGACAACCCCACCCTTGCAGTTCACAATGGCAATTTAGTTCCGAGCCTCAGTAAGTTGCAGTGACCGGCCGGGCGGACTCCCCCCGGCGGCCCGGGGCGGCCGGTACTGACCGTCGGACCGTCACGGTACCGTGGCAGTGAGCCCCCCCGGCCCCCCGGCCCGGCACCGTTCCGGGCCGGGGCGTGACAGAGTCGCGCGGTCAGTTGCCCCGCCGAAGGCTTGCGCCGCGGCCACGGAGTCAGGCTGCAGGCTGGCATCGTCACGGCAGCGGCTCCCGGAGTCCGGCGGCCGTGGGCATCACCAGTGACAAGAGACCGTTCCAAAGGCGGCTCGGAATCTTGACTGTAATCGGATGATTGGATTGCTTTTCACTGATAGTTTGACAGGGGCACTCAACTGAGCACAAACTTGAGTCAACTTGACTCAGACGCCGTGAGACAGCACTTCCATACCCAAGAAGCCTCTCGAGTCGTCGCCACACATACAGTGTCATGTGCAGTCCATGGAAGAGTACGGCAGTGTATCGGCCACGGCCTATCAGGCTTCATTCTTCCATCGCGCCCAGGAATGGATCAAGGGCCACACAAAGAGTGGCATTGAGCTTCGATGTAATTTGAAAAGCTGCAGATCAAGTCTTCGCAATCCTTGAGCTTATCTATACGACTTTTTTCAGATGGTTTCTTGTTGGTGCTGGGTAGGATGAAGTACATCGTGGTCATTCCTATCAAGAAACTGACCACACAGCTCGTCAGAAGCACCAACCATCTTGAAAAAGCCTTCCGCCCGTCTTCACAAGGCAAGATGGATTCTTCTCCTTCAGAGCTTTCTGGCCAATGATTGACTTTAAAACATGAGAGGGATGGCAAATGCAAGTCACCACAAAGTTCTTCCATTTCCTCCATCCCATCAATACGCTATGATCCACCTTTGCTGTTACTAAGATTTAAGTAGCGTGGGACCAGTTTGCCTCTTCGCTAGTCAATGATCCATACTCATCGTTTGTGTACTTGCGCACTGTTTTCGAGGACATGCAACAACCAAAATTATTAAAAATATTTAGTACAGGACAACCATCAGCCAGACATATAGTGAATCTTTGAATGACTATGGAACTGATGTTTGCTTGCAAAAAAAGATCAGAGATAAGCTGACAATGGGTGGATGCAACACCCTATTCATGGGAAACTTAATTCAGCATCTCCATTGGGAACATGTTGGCTTTCAGTGGTTCATGTGGTCCCTGTCCACACTCGAAGAGTAAAATCTAACGACCTGTTCCCTTCATCAGCTGCTACATACTTCAAAATCTTCCAAATCTAGAGGATTCGAGGACACTAGTGCCTCTACAACATTCATCTCTGCTCAGTTGCGCTCATCACTGAAGTTCTACTCATTGCCAAGTTAGCTACTCATCGCATTCCTTCCTGGAAAGATACGATGTAATTTCACGACAGTGTCATCACGATTGTTGCATATCCCTTCTTCTAGTTATTTTGCTCGTCTTTTCTCTCTTCCCCTCCCTCGCCCTGCCCCTAGCCTGCACCGCCTTGTCTCACTTCGCCGGTACCATTAATCCGTTATGGACGCCCATAATCGTAACGGTTTGAAATGGTTGTGTAACGATACGTAACTGTTATTTACAGCCCGCTGGCCCTTGACGAAGAGTCACAGTCCTTCGCCATGCTCTCTACTGTGAGTACCCGTGCGGATGCGAGCGTTAGAAATCCCTTCTTCTCCTCTTCTCGTCACCGTGATAACATGGATATGCGTCTCTTGTCTGAGCATGCTGATATGTCGCTTGATGGCAAGTGCCCTCATTTTCTGTTTTGGGATGTTGAACTATGACGTCGTTTCATAAAAGGTTCACAGTTAATTGCTCGGCACTTTTTCGCTTCTTTTGCCGATGTTATTTTTGGATGACGATGAGTCATAAAGATGTGCCCACGTGTTTGATTTGTTGTGCATATTCTTTACTGATGTTGATTATCGATAAGTGTTAATTGGCCTGATGAATTTGAGCCGTGTTTCATATCCCACCTTCGCAGTCGATATTGTCATTGCAACTTTTGTGTTACACAGTTGATAATTCTTCTTTCACTAGCTCTGGAACGCTGCTCACAACGACGAGATCCGCCTCTCCCCCTCGGCTCCTCACCACATCGCCATGGGTCTCAGGAACTCCTCCTGGCTCTGGAACTACGGCAGCCACGAGGTTGCCGGAGCCGTCGACACTGTTGAGGGCAGGCATCATAAGAAGCACGCTTTCGATTAAACACAACGGAGTAGTTTAACTTGATGCCAGCTTGTGAGGAATAAACTTCGTTGACTCATGTGACGATTTGCCAAGTCAAGTGACTCGGTACGTTGACTGGATGATGTGTTGTGGAAGACCTCATCAACAGGTGGACAGCATTTGATTCACATTTATATGATTTCGAATGTGAACTACAACACAGCAATTTACATCAAAACTGTTCCAAAAATTTCGATGCGACAACCCTGCCACGAGAGTTTACATTAAGTTTCATGGCACTGACTTCCTTGTCGATATCCTCCATGAACTGGATAATGAAATCGATTACCTTGTGCTTCATCATTCCTTCCAAATGCTTATTGGTGATAAGAAAGCTGATATCATAACCTTCAACTGGTTTCCGACGTAACACAGCGAACTGTTCTGCACGTCTCATCAAGAATCTCATGAATTTTGCCACTAACATTTCCTCCAAAGCGTCTGCCTGCTTGATCTTGATACTAATTCTCATGGAATTTACTGAAGTTTCAATCATGACTTTTTCGTTTTCAGTTCTTGAGATCACAATTGGGTTCAAAATTAGCTCCGGAGACCTTCCTACCTCGATTTCTGGTTTGTTATGCCGTTCAACATCCTGGCATCCAAAGCTTTGTAAACACATTGCTGCATTCAGCGTGTTTCTGACACATGCAAAATAAGGTTGCTGGGAAGTCGACATACCAATTGGAGACTTGACCTGAGTAGACAAATTAAATTGCAAAACAACAGGAGTCATTTCTTTAAATTTTTTGAAAGAAATGTTATGAAAGAAACAACGAGGTGCGATAATCAACCCGGATACATGATAACTCCCGAAACATGCATCATAAATCCCACAATTTTCATGCACATCAAATTGTCATTATCGTTCTGTTCTTCCACTTTCTAATGGATCAAAGCCTTTGCATAAAGGAGGCATGGCAAGAAACAAGAAGTAAGATCTAGACAGATGGAGCTACACTCAGCAGAGAGCAAGATGGAAGCTTATGAAGAGCGGCATGTCTAGGCGACGCCTTGCGTCCTTGCTGGCTACCGCGAGGACAGCATTCCGTTCACTGCCGTCTGACAGCTCATTCTTGACCGTTACTTACAGTAACGGTATACGTTGTGTTCAATAACGAAGATTTTATCCGTTATAGTTCCGTTTCATCTGTCCCACCTGGTCCTTTCCCCTCCCTCACCCCCCCTTCTTCCCTTCTCCACCCCCTCCCGTCACCGGCAAGTAAAACTTTCGCCACAAATTCACATGAAACCAGGCAGGCAGAGGAGGGGGTGGGTGGTTTAAGTCCATGGGGGGTTGTGATTAAACATGGAAAATGAGGGGGTAGGGGTACTTGGGGTGAAGATAGGTGGGTAGACAGTAGAGGTCCAAATGGTGGGGATAAGGATAGCGCCGATGATGCTAGCGACGCTGCTGTTGTCGCATGTTGCTGTAGCAAGGATAGAGAACAACTTCTACAGTAACCGCAATCACGACGTGGACTTCAGCAGTAGCAGCAGCATCGAGAATGACGGCATGAGTCGCCTTGATGGAGGAGTTGACGGATGGAGCCTTGAAGGCACGACAAGTAGCGACGAGCTGTCGAGATGGGGGGTAGGACTGCGAGGCAACAGGAAGGAGTTGTTAGCTGCAAGCGTTCGAAAGGTTTTGTATGGGCACGATGAACTCGGAATTCGAGCCATCGAGAAAAATTTTGCCGACGTTGACGACAACGCAAAGCATCAATGGATTATTCATGTAAAGCCTCCTTTCAAATCAGATTTGAGACAGAAAATCGCTTCATCTTTGAATTGTGCAAAAGGTAAGCTCGACACTTCAATCCTGTGCTGATGTTAACTTGCTATAGATGATCTAAACTACATTCCTCATGGTACTTTTCATGTTTTTACAAGCTCAGCTCAGATCAGAAGCTTGAAACAGCTCGTTCCTGAAGTAGTATGGGTCAAGCCTTTGCTTCCACACCACAAGCTATCACACGAAGTTTATCGCGATTTCATCTTTCAAAATAGTTCTGTTCATCATTTAAATGCCAAGGAGCATATTGAGTTGTATATTGCAATTAGCGAGCCTGCAGAGAGCAGAGAGCTCGAGGTTTGGAGCCATGATCTAGGGGTGACCCTTCGATCCATCTCATCAAAGAAGTTGTATGCAAAGATACATAGATCGAAAGTGCAAATGGCTGTTTCTTTCTTGCTGCGACAACCCGGAACTCACTGGATCGAACCGAAGCAGCAAGCCAAGGTGCCATGACACATCTGATGCACATGCAATCTGCTCTAACTGAATGCCTAGCTCCGGAACAAATGGGCTAAAGGCATCATTCAAAGTGGTGATGCAAGCCAAATGCCGATTTTTTCCAAGGGGATCACAGGAACTGGACAGGTCAGTGTCATGTCGTTCCATTTGCATGATTTTGATCAACCTGTAGATACTGGGAATTGCAGATACAGGAATAGATATGAATCTATGCTTCTTCTATGATGCCGATCACCCGGCCCCGTACAACACTGTCAATCGAAACCATCGCAAGGTGATCAGTTACCGCGGACGAGCTGGACAAGGAAACACTTGGGATGAGGAAGGTCATGGGACCCACACAACGGGCTCTTTGTCTGCTAAGGCTCTCACAAGTCCTCAATCTGATTTCAACGGAATGGCTCCTGACGCAAAGGTGAAGGGTTGCAAATGCTTTCGGCAGTCTCGACCATGACTTCATTGAATAGATTGTTTTCGATGATATCTTTCAAAACGGAGATTTGACGCCTCCTGATGATTTGGAACACGATCTTTTTCCGGAGCCTTACTCGCTGGTGATCTGAGGAGAAGATGTTTGGTCAAAGTTGAGAACTATTTCGCAGGGAGCTGCGGTGAGGTCAGAATCATGGGGTGGGGATAGCATTTTCTACACCACGTCGGCCAAGGAGATCGACTCCTTCTCATACTCTCATAGAGGTGAACGTTGTTTTCAAGATCATGATTTGCTCCTGACTTTGGGGTGCGAACGGCAGAGTTTCTGGCGTCATGGGCAGCGGGCAACGATGGAGATTTGGGTCTCTTTACGATCGGATCTCCAGCCACAGCCAAAAACATTCTTTGCGTCGGTGCACAGCAGAGCACGATGGAATCTCTTATGCTGGAGACCTCTGACACCACCTTCATCACGCTGTCAGCTGAGAATGACGAATTAGAAAAGCAAAAGATCATGGCGAAGTGGGCAAGTTTTGGCAATAAGGGTGAGATATCCGGTTCCGTCGTGATCGCATCGCAAATAGAAGCGTGTCAAGCACTGTCTAGCACTGCTAACGGAAAGATTGTGTTGGTAGCCCGAGGAACTTGTGCTTTTACGACGAAGGCCAGCAATGTGCAGGTAAGAGAGGGACCACGTCGTGTTACTGGCCATGATTTCTCGTTCTGCTCTTAGAGTGCAGGAGGGATTGCCATGATCGTGTATGACAACGTCTATGGAACCCCCGTGATTATGGGCGGAACGGATGCGACAATAACCATCCGCTGTGTCTCAATCTCAAGATATGATGGCGAAACAGCCCTGTCAATGCTGCAGAGTGCGAATGGAGCTTATTCCATTCTTGCTTCCACCTCGGGCTCTGGCCCAGATCTGTGGCAGCAGAATCTGGCGTACTTCTCCGGAAAGGTGGGTTTGATCTCCTTGAAATCTTGTGTGCCTGACAAGCGTTCCCAGGGGCCCACTGGCGACGGCCGGCTGAAGCCGGACATCATCACGCCCGGCGCAGATATCTGGTCGGCTAAGTCTGGCGGTCTCTCAACTCCAGCTGGACAGTGTGGTGGAGTGCCGCCGAATGCAGGGGCTTGTGTGACTGGCATGGGCGGAACTTCCATGGCAGCACCGGTAGCTGCTGGGGGGGTAGCACTGATACGACAATATTTCATGGACGGCTGGTACCCCACTGGTGTGGCGGTGGCGAATAACAAGTACACGCCGTCCGGGGCCCTTCTGCGAGCCATGGCCCTGTCAGCAGGAAAGGCCTTGACCGGCACCTTGGATGCAAGCTCGTATGGTGGGAGTAGCTCCAAACCTCTGGACCAGCTGCTGCCCAACAACGAGCAAGGATATGGGTCTCTGAACATCGAGCAAGCCCTTTACTTCCAAGATCGATCTGCGCACGGCCCCAAGAACTTATGGATTCGCGATGATCAGTCACCGCACTCCACGAAGTGTCTGGACACTGGAGAAGCATCGGCCTTCAAGTTTCAGGTGAGAGTGAAGCTGTGAACGCGTGTGACGGCTGACGGTTGCTCGCGTCAGGTGCGGTCAAGTCAGTCCTTTAAGGTGACCATTGCTTGGACAGACCCGCCAGCAACTCTCGTTTCAGATGTTGTCTTGATCAATGATCTTGACTTGATGCTCTATGGTCCAAACGACCGAATGTGGATTGGCAACAATTTTTCTGCATCGAACATCAATGGAGATTCTTACTTCTATGCCGACCGATTGAACAACAATGAGCAGATCTTTGTCAAGGTTCCGATCCCTGGCAACTACACGATTGTGGTGATAGGACATGCAGTCCCACAGGGCCCGCAATGCTACGGGATCGTTGTCACCGGTGACTTTCAGTTCTTGGGGACTGTGGATCCTCCTTGCAAGCATTCTTGTGGAGTTCATGGTCAGTGCGTAGCAGGCGAATGCGTGTGTGAAGGGCTCTGGTCGGGACCAGACTGCTCTACGCCGATTCCTCAAGTGATCTCTGGGCAGACCATCGAAGGTCTAGTCGAGCCCAACGCCTGGCAGTATTACGCGGTGGACTTGGGGCCGTACGTGGGCGGAAGCTTCACAGCAACGATGACGCGAACGTCCTCTGTCGGAGACCCAGACCTCTACATCCAAGCCGGCTCTCTGCCGAGCTTGCTGCATTACAGCAGCCTCTGCTCGTGCTCTAACCCGGGCGACCGAGCTCCTTGTGAGTGCAGAGAAATCTCGTGCGACAGCTGCAGCGGGTCGGGGACGAACGTGGGGAGGACACTTTCTAGCGCAGCCAACACGAACATGAAAGGGCTGCTCTTCATCGGAGTGGTTGGCTTCTGCTGCGACACAGCTCACTTCACCCTTACTGTCAACTTCCACAGCATGGGATGCGACCAGCAGTTGGACTCTGGAAAGGTGTTTGGGTGCGATGGAACTTGCAACTCCGGCAAGACGTTTGACGCGTGTCAAGTTTGCGATGGAGATGGCTCGACGTGTCTCGGCTGTGACGGCAAACCCAACAGTGGCAAAGTCTTGGACGTCTGCGGGGTCTGCGGGGGTGACGGCTCCTCTTGCATGGGCTGCGATGGAATTCCTGACAGCGGCAAGGTGCTGGATGTCTGCGGGGTCTGCGGGGGAGATGGACAGTCTTGCATGGGATGCGACGGCATTGCCTTCAGCGGCGTGAAGAAGGACGCGTGCGGCATCTGTGGGGGAGACAACTCGACCTGCAAGGGGTGCGATGGCATTCCCAACAGCCACAACACAGTTGACGCGTGCGGAGTGTGCGGAGGCAACGGTTTGTCGTGTGTGGGATGTGATGGTGTGCATGGAAGCGGAGCTATGCTTGACGTCTGTGGAATATGTGGCGGAAACGGTAAGAGCTGCCTGGGGTGTGACAATGTGACCAACAGCGGCTTACGCTTCGACGCTTGCGGAGTGTGTGGAGGAGACAACAGTACCTGCATCGGTTGCGACAACAAGGTCAACGGCAAGAAGTTGGACGCTTGTGGCGTGTGCGGAGGCGACGGATCGCTGTGCCTTGTTTGTAACACTGTGGTTGATGCCTGCGGGATTTGCGGGGGAAACGGAAGTTCATGCGTGTGGTTGAATGAAGCGACTGTGCCGGTGAAGGTATCGGCAGCGATTGCCCTTACTGGCATCAGCGATCAGGTTTGCCGCTTTCTTTTGTTCTTCCCTCCCTCACTCTTCTTTCAGGACTTCAGCCGTTTTGCTTACAACTCGTTTGTCGCCAGCATCGCAGACACGACCAACGTCGATCCTTCCAAGGTCAACGTCACCTCCGTTGCACAAGTCACCTCCATGAGAGGGTATAGACGGGGAACGGCCAGGAGGGATCGAGGCTCTTCGTCCTCGTCCTCCAACGTGACGTCAACTCTCGTGGGGTTCACCATCAAGCTTCAACGGGCTCAGAGAGCTGTGCAGCTCGCGAGTACTCTCAAGGCGGAGTTGAGCAACGGGCTGTTCGAGGAGAAGCTCTCGAGAGCACTCAAGGTGATCTGTCGTTTCTTGTCTCGCTCCTCCCACACCTGCTTCTGACTCGCCTCCTCAGTTCTCTGTCCGCGCGTCTCTTGTCCGTCCTCCCACCTTCGACGTCGACACTGAGATCGTGCCTCCTCCTTCCTCGGGAGCTCAGCGGGGGAAGTTTTCTCCTGCTCTCGTCATCTTGTGGGTCGCCTTGTACGTCCTGCTCGCAGGCCTCTTGTCCTTCTTCTTGTATCGCCTGCCTCCTACAGTCGAGCGCTCTCCCTACCTTGTGTTCCTCCTCTGGCTCTTCTTCGGGATCCTCGGCGTCCACAGGTTCTTCACTCAGACGCCCAAGGTCGGCCTCGTCTACTTCTTCACGCTCGGGGGGCTCGGGCTCGGCTGGTTGGGCGACTTGTACTGGCAGAGGGGATACCTCTTCTCCTCCACGAGGAGAAAGAAGGTGCGTGCGATCGGGACACGTGCGAAGAACATGTTTCAGAACAGCACGCTGGCGGAGAAATGGAAGAGGAACAGGCAGGTGCTGCGAAGCAAGCTCTTGAAGGAGAAGGCGGGATACCAGAAGACCGATGGAGCGGAGGAGGAAGGAGAAGACTCGCTCCAGGTCGCCGTTGAGGGTCCTGGTGAAGGTGAAGAGAGGGAGGCGGGTGTAGGTGCGAGCTGATGAGGTTGGCGGCAGTGCTGCCTGAGGTGCTCAAGTCGAAGGAGGTCGAGCTGGGGCTGCTGCAGAGCGAGGGAGAGGCACGAGACCGGCATCAGCTGGAGTGATGTATGATGATCTTTATTGTTTGTCAACAGATGCGTTGGACCATCTAGCCGTTGACTTGCCTCAGGCTCTGACATGTGCTTGCCCTCCCTCCCTGGCCTACCTAGACAAACCGTCTCCTCCTCCTCACTCTTGCCTCCTCAACTCCTCTCATCCCGACCCTGAGAACCCTCCGCCTGTGGACTTGAAGGCTCTTGTCATCTGCTCCTTGAGAGAAAGCAGCGCCTGCTGCGGCGTCTGGGCTTGCAAGGGCATCATGCCTGCTGGAGCAGGAGCTGCGTCCGCTCCTCGCATGCCCACCCGGTTCACAATGGCGGAGGGTTCGATCTCTAGGATGACTCCGCTATCCACTATCTCGTCGAGCGCCAGCAACACGATGTCTAACTTCTCCAGCATGGTGTGCCGGTCGAGGGAGCCGCCGGGAAGGAGGGAGGCGTAGGCGTTGTAGAGAGCGTTGAGCACCTCCACGAGGATGATCTCGTTCTCGTTCTGATCGCCCGTCACAAACAAGTACACGTCCTTGCCCTCGCGAAAGACCGCTATGTGTCCGTCGAAGAGCAAGATGTCACTTTCAGACTGTGAGGAACATTTGAGAGCCTTGGACAGGAGGCTCTTCTCGAACTGCTGCTGGGCATGCAACGTCTTGAGGTCGTCTGTGAAGTAGCGAGCGGCAATTCTCTCTCCCTGGCTGTCGATGATGACGATGGATGAAACGTTGGGCTCTGCGACAATGGTTGCACTCATGGCGTAACCTGTACAGCATGTCAGAGAGCGAAAGAACGGAGTGAAGGGAAGGGGAGGATGAGAGCGCAGGTATTGACTGGGAGGAAGAGAGTGAGAGAATGAAGAAATGAGGCCTGCAATCGGTCATGCGTGGAGATTTCAATGTCTTGTCTCTCTCTCTCGACTTGTCGCTATTCCTACAGCTGGCTCTCGGCTCGACCTGCCTGACTGCCGACCTGTCAGGAGCTTTGCAGCGCCAGCACCAGCTTTTGTCGGTCTACGAATCATTTACTTTCATATGCTTGCTCCAAGCACTCTCCTCTCTATTCCTGTTGGTGTGTTTCACCCATTTTATCTTGATCTCACGAGTCCCCCTGTCTCCTTTTACAACACAACTCGCCTCCTCCCATCCCGTGCCCCCTCTTCCTGTCCTGTCCTTCTCATCTCCTCCCATCTCCTCCCATCTTCTCTCCATCCTCCTGCTCCTCCGGCTCCTCTCCACTCTTCGCTTGTTCTCTGCTGGACTAGGTCGTTACTGAGGATACTTCGTCCAACGGATTGGCTACATCTCAGCCTCCATTTTGCTTCGTGGCGACTTCTGTTGCTGTCCTCCTCCTCATCTGAAACTTGTTGTCGCCTCCTCTTACTCCTCACTCTCCTCTCCGCCGTCCCATCCTCCTCCTCCTCCTCCTCCTCCTCCCCATCCTCCTCCTCCTCCTCCTCCTCCTCCTCCTTCCCATCCTCCTCCTCCTCCTCCTCCTCCTTCCCATCCTCCTCCTCCTCCTCCTCCTCCTCCCCATCCTCTTCCGCCGTCCCATCCTCCTCCTCCTTCCCCTCCTCCTCCTCCTCCTTCCCATCTTCCTCCTCCTCCCGCCGCCCCGCCATGTCACTCCTCCTCTTCGCGTGCTTCCTGAAAAGTTCTCTCGGCCTCGGAAAAGTTCTTATACAAGCTCAGTAGTTCATGCGCCCGCTCAATAGTTCTGATGTCCTCTCAGAAGTTCTCAAACGGTATTTGAAAAGTTCTACTTTTGGTCTAAGGCGAAAATGGAGGAGACCTGTCGTAGTTCGCGTCCCCTCTCTCCCCCTCCTCTCTCTCCCCCTCCTCTCTCTTCCCCTCCTCTCTCTCCTCCTCTAGCTTCTCGTCTGCATAACTCGCTTCTCCAACCTCGTCGGTCTCACACCTTAGATGTCTGGCGATCGTTGCGCTCAGCTCCTGGGGGGATGTTTGTGGCTGTCTTGCTCTCGTTCTGTAGCACATGCTCAGCTTTTTCGCCGAGCCTCATCGGACTGGATCGAACGAGCAGTAAGGCAAGAGGTTCGAGCTGCTTCTCCAGCTGTAGACATGCTTTTCCTTCACGCCCATGTTTGCCTCGCACTGCGACACAAGTGCTGATGATGAAAGGTTGACCGATGTGCATGTCAAGTCCAGTCATGCTGACCCCACAGCTTCAGACAAATCGAGCAAGCGACCTGATGCAAAGCATTCAGACACGCACCTGCATGTCGGCATGGTGAGCAACAAACTTGGGAGGGGAGGAGGCAGACTCTGAAGGTGCCACCAGGAGGTCGACGTGAGGTGGGAGGAGTGCTGGTGGCCGGCAACGATCAAAGAAAAGAAGGTGTCGGCAAGAGGAGGCGAGGTTAACCTGCTTGTCGTGTTCGAGGTACCCCGAGCGTTGGGCTTGTCGGCAGAGGCTGATACCGCTTGATATAGAACGGAGAGCAGGAGTGGATTGACGCGAAGGATCAGATTCGAGCTCGAAGAACCGTGAAGAAGGTTTGTCCTCATTCCTGATGCCGGTGGCAGACTGTCACCCATCTTATCAGGACGCCAACAGCATCTATGACCAGGCCGAGTTGAGAGTCCCGAACCGAACGCTGAGCGATGCAGAGTATTGGAAGGTGAGCGGGAGAACGACCCGAGCTCGTGTGATGTCGTCACATCGCAGGCGGTGGGAGCGAAGGCGAGTGACTTCAACAAGGACCAGGCTGACCTGCTTTCCGAGTTGCTGGAGAACAGGTGGAGGCTTGCCGGGAGGAGCTGGTCAGTAACCGGGGGTTTCAGGTTGAAAGGAGGAGCCGAAGTGCTCGAGGTTGGTGCGGGCGCGAAGTCATTCATCCCGTCAGAGAGGATTGCCAGCTTGCATGGCATCGGGGTGGTGAATGAGCACCTGCAGTCCAACTCTGCTCTCACCAAGTTCTCTGTGCTCGACCTCAACGCCGAGCACGTGGCGTTTCCCTTCCAGGAGCAGTCGTTTGACGCTGTTGTCTGCTCAGGCGTCATGCCCTACCTGCAGTTTCCCCTCCAAGTCTTCGCTGAAGCAGCTCGAGTCTTGAGACCAGGAGGATCGTTCATCATTAGCTGGACTAGCAAGGCCTCGTTCCTCGACCGGCAGGTCCAGGGCTGGGGTAACCGTACGAGCACAGAGCGAACGGCCTTGGTGAAGGAGCTGCTGGACAAGACTGGCTTCAATCGGGAGAGCGTCAGGCTCGACGTCTCTGGTCTAGCTGCCCACCTCATCTCCTTCTGCTCCTCGTGATGCTCGAACGTGCAGGTCCAACCACCGGGAGCAAGCTGTACCTTGTCTCTGCTTGTACTTCTCCGAGCGAGCAGGGCAGAGCTGAAATCCGAGACGCGGTGAACCCTCAGGAGCTTCTGTACACGCTCAAGGACAAATCGAAGAAGCGACAGGTGCTGACTTGTTCCTCTCCCACTCCCTCGCCTCCTCACCCTTGCCCAGGACGCGAAGAGACAGAAGGAGCAGGACGACAAGCCCTTCAGGTACCGCGGAGGTCGGGGAGTCGAGCTCATGGTGCATTGCTAGGGTGAAGATTATCTCGCCGCCACCAGAGAGAATGTGAGAGAGGAGGCTCGGAGCTGCCGCCCTTGTGCTGCAGGCTTGAAGGCCCTGACCTGTGCTGCAGGCTTGAAGGCGTTCACTTCTTCCATCCTCGTACCCACAATGGGGACAAGTAAGGAGCTCTGACCGCCTCCCCCTCTAACATCCTGCAGGATTGCTGTGGAGGGAGCAGACTACACGGTCAGCAAGGTGATCCCGCTCCTCCTCCTGCCTTAACATGACAGCAAGGCAGGTCCAGTTCGTGTACGTCTACAGCGGAGGAAGATACCAGCTTGAGGAGAAGGTAGGTTCCTCCTTTCCAATTCCCTCTTCTTTTCCTCACCGTTGTATCTCATCCTACCCTCCTAACATCCTCTGTGCGCTCTCCCTTCCTCTTCTGCATTCTCAAGATCAAGCAGGTCCTTGAGGTCCAGAAATCCACCAGGTTTGACGTGAACGAGGTGAGGGCAGCCTATTCTTCCTCCTCCCCCCCGCTCCTGCCCCCGCCCGCTCCCCTCTCCTCTCCCTCTCCCTCCGCTCCCAACCCCTTCCTCCTCCGGTGCTTGTGGTTGTCATAACGTGCAATATGCAGAAATTGCGATCGCTCTTGCCCGAGGCATGAAGTGAACGCACGAGGTGATCAAAACAATACAGAGAAAAGAATAAGACAAAAGAATAAACATGCGTGGACTACCATCGTCCTGCAAACCCCATATGTCCTGCTAGTCTGCAACTCCATCATCCTTCCCTTACCTAGTTCCTCCAACTTCACCTGCACTTCCCGCACCTTGCATCCCATTGCTGTCAATGTCAATACCGTCAGTGTCTACTCAGCAGTCAGCGACTTCCTGAACCACCTGGGGATGCGATGAATGTGGCGACGAAGCATTCCCTCCTTCACTTCTTTTGCGAGCGCCGCAGAGTTGTAGTCAAGTCTTCCCGCTAGCAGGCGATCAGACTCGTGACAAGTAGCGGAGATGGGAGGGGCAGGTTGCTTACGGGACGAGAAGCTAGCTTCTTTCACGTTCTTGAGCTTTTGGTAGCAATCGCAAAGGTACTGCTGCTGAGGCCCGATGATGCTTCCAGGTCGGATGATCCGCAAGTAAGCGATCACCTCCTCAGCTGTGAAGTCGTAGTTGCGCATGATCCACAACCCGATCAGCGTCCCCGTCCTTCCAAGTCCAGCCAAACAGTGGACTGCGATCACTCCCCTCTCTCTCTCCACGATGTCCATGAACTTGCTCACAATCAACTCTGACGGTGTTGTGCAGTCCTACACAAGAATTCAGACAGAACGATCCGCATGCTGCAGCTCACTTCGAAGAAGAGATCGTAATGGTTGAACCCATTCTTCACGAATTCATTCCGGTCGTATTCCTGCGCATGAGCGTCAACACAAGGGATGACACGAAAAAAACATCTTCACCTTGTTGTTCAGCCTCACGATCGCAGAAACCTTTACCGTCATGTCATCAACCTCATTATCTTCACAACATTTCACTCACATTGTGATGTCTGAAAACCTCGATATAGTCTTTCGGCGTATGCGAGTAGAGCCCTGCAGCCAGTCGATACCGCCGACCTGTCGGGCCCTTGAATGCGATGAATCTTCTAGGAACTATGACATGCATGTCGCCATGCTGCGGGTGATCGTAGTAGTCGTACTCGTCGGGATTGAAACCTTCGATGTCGATCAGCCCTGTCTGCATAATCCTCGTTACATCGCATTCCACAGGAGCGCATGTTACCTCGATGCCCCGGTGAAGGCCTCGCCAGCAGTCCTCAAGCTTCAAGTCCCAAGTGCTCCTTACAAAAGTTGCATCTCTGTAGTGCAAGAAAGGAGAAGGCTCAAACTTCGAAAAACAATTCCAGATTTCGGCTGGAGACATCTTTCTGTCCAAGAGGAGGTAGCAACCAATGAGGAACACGCAGTTGGTACGGTTTTGAACTGATGCACCAGTGAAGTGAACAATCTTCTTCCCTTTGAGATCCTCGCTGCTCATTTTTTCTTTCATCAACTTCACATATCGAACGATGGCACTCAGGTTCATTGGGCCGAAATCCGCACAGAAAGAAGAATAGACGAGGGTTCTGTCGGTAGAAAACCAATGCTCCGATTGAGGAGCCGCAGGCTCGCAACTGACGCTGGCCCAATAGAACCTTCCATCGATGATGGGATAGGTGGACCCGACCATGAACCTAGTTGACATGTTGGGTGAGTTGGCTGGTTGTAGGGCAGGGTCAGCGCTTCTCCTCAACCCCTGCCCTTTACCCGAGGAGGGTCTTTGTAGGACTCGCAAACGACTCAAGTCATTGCGAGGGAAATTCTGGGGCAGCCTGTCATCCACAGAACCACTTCCTGCCCCACTTGCGTTCTGCTGGTTGTCGTTCACTCTCGATGGGCTCGGAACATTCTCACTGACGATCCGCACTCCTCGAGCCGCAGAGCCACCTGAACTTGCAGATTGAAAGTTCAGGCGCCTAGGAAGAATCGAAGCAAGGTCGGAGGTGTAAGGTTTGTTCACACTGGGCACAGTGTAAACGATGTTCTTGCCGTTTTTGTTCCGTACATTGCAAACAGGAGTGGGTGCATTGGATAGAACCTTGTCATCCAATTCACCAATGCCTCGCGCCCATCCCTTTCTCTGCAAGTTCTGAAGCGACTTTCTGTGTGCCTTTGAGTTTGGTGTCTGATCTAGCCTCATATCCATGCCGTTCTAAGCCAGGTACATTCAGGCCAGCCACAGACAGCAGAGACGCCCGATGAATCTCCTTTAGTCGAGACACAAGGAACGTTACCAGTCCTTAGACACCTTCGTAACGTAAACCGCAGTGTCTTGACATCAAACACAGAAATTAAGTGTAAGAATCGCTTCAAAATTTATCGCCTTCATGGCTGCCAGAGTGGGAATGGGCCATATAACATGATTCAATCAAAGAGAATTAGATGTCTTGATATCCGTTTTACTTACCCTGTGTTGGTCATCAAGGATACTCCATGGTTTCGATCTCAAGCTTAGTCATGTCCAAACAAAACTCCTGCTGCAAATGAACTCAGCAGCAGAATGTCTAAATTAGTCCTATGTAACACTGTCAATCATCCAGCAATTCAGCATTTTGAATCCACATTCGATTGAAGAATCAAAGAAACTCTCATACAGAAAGAGGTTTACATGGAAAGGGGGCTCTATAAGTTGGCCCCAAGCTCTCATTCCTTCCAGTCAAAACTTTTCGACCCTCAGTTTACCACTTCTTACTGATTAGAAGGTTAATCACGTGTTCATTCATTCAATATTCTGGTGTCTCCCTTTCTTCTCCTGGTTCTCATGCCATCGCTATGTTTATCACGCTAGTGCCCCTTCCCCCCTCATCCTCCCTGCTATCTCTACACATCCCTTGAGCCATATCGCCTGGATGCCGCGCACAACACAACACCCTACCCCCCACTGGATTGACTCACCCCTGTCACAAACCCCACCGGTGGTATCATCTTTCATCGAAACAGTATGAAAGTACCCCTACTCTTGAGGCCCATTCTGAACCCTACCCATCTTCGAAGATGACTTGACGAGATGACCCTACCTTGTAACACCTGCCATCATTCTCGCCTATCCTCACCTACCCCTACCCCCACCCCCACTCCTCGTCTCATTGATCTCTGGGAACAACTATTCACCCCCCCTTTTGATACTGGGGAAGGTGGGTCCTTGAAGGTTAGCACTTACACGCCTATACCCCCACCCCCCCCCATCAACCACCCCTAACCCATTAGGCCCTTTTTGTTCGCTTTCAACTTTTTGGTCCTCAACAACCAACCACCCCTACCCTTCCAATCCCCACATTACCAGGATAAAACAACCCTACCCTCAAAAGCTCAAAGATTCGACTTTGATGCTAACTAGATGGCTGGGAGTGCACAGAGATAATCTGAGCCCCGATTGATTTAGCACCTCTTCTTTTCGTATTAATATTGGGTTCTAGTCGGACAGCGTCGAGAGGGGTACTTGGACATACAAACACACTTGCAGCATCCGATCATTAGATGACCGCTGATTTGTCATCATATGGCCGCAGAATCGAACCCCCACCCCTACCCCGCCAACAGTAGTAGTACCAGTCACTGAGTAGTACCAGTAGTGTCCTCGATCTGATTTTGACTTAACTTTGAGTAAAGATGTGACCCGCGCCGGGCCGCGGGCTAGGCGAGTCACGGAGGCTTGGCCGGGCCGTGACGGTCACCGGGTGGCGTGCCAGCAGGCTGACGCCGGGCGGGCCCGGGCCGGACGGTTACTAGTGACTAGTTATGGCACCGTCACTGTTGAACCGGAACCGTGAACGGGTTTAAATAGTAAAGTAGTGACTTGAACTCAAGTTGGCCCTGTGGAACTCGAGACCGTAAGTTAAAAATCAGGCTAGAGTCACCTTGAAGAGAACGCCAACTTTGACAGACACAGCGGCGAGCCTGGCTCGGAACATGCTTCCTTTACTCAAAGTTAAGTTAAAAATCAGTACGAGGGAACAGTCCCCCAAACTTAGCTAAATATGTATAGAAAGAATAGCACGGATTCTATATGGAGCCCTTTCTTTTACTTAAAGTTGAGTAAACTTTCTTAGTTAAGTAACGTTGACAATGCAGGAAGCACAATGAAGAGCATCGACGCCGCCCTAGAGCAAGGATGATGGTGTTCTACATCCGATCACGTCTTAGGATCATTCTAGGCATAGTTGTGCATTACTTTTACACATCTTTCAATCATGATAAGGATAGAAAACCTTTCATGTTAGAGAAGAACATGGTCTGAAGAATCATACTTGTCTTGTTGAGATTCCCAAGTTGTCATTATCATGATGTCGTCCATCCCCAACTGTCTCCAATATGCAAGTCCCTTGAGCAACCATATCACGCTTGTTTCCTTTGTACACTGCACGATCATCCACACCCTAATCACAAAAGCATCTTCAAGCTCCCCTTACCCCGCACTTGTCCCATGATCCCATCCCCATGAACATTATAGAAGTGACAAGGTGTAATCGTTGTTGCATGCAGGATAGCATCCAACTTCCCAATGTGTCTGTACCTGATCCTGTCAAACCTGCGCATACTCCTTCACCCCCATCCCCAGT